TTTCTAATAACAAATTATTATATACTGCTTTATGTACACAATAGACAGTATAACTTATTAGGACATATCTATACTTATGTGATATGAGGCTTAGTGAGGCGCGGTCGTACGCTCGACCTGCTGCAGAGCGAACGTTCCGGCTAGCATACATTATAATGTAGGTAAGTTTCTTTATCTTATGATAAGTACAATCAAAACTTTATCATCTTATGATAAGTATAATCAAAACTTTATCATCTTTTAATAATTAATAGATAATAAAAGTACAAACAACAACAGATAATAAGTAATAATATAAATTTAATTTAAACAATTTTACATTCTCGGTTAAGCCCATGGGCGGATAGCGGAAATCAGGATTTTCTCGGTAGGCCCACATCAATATTATATTCAGAAGCCCCCATCCCCCCCCCAAAAAAAATTATAATATGAAAGTAAATTTTTATAACACTGGCTGGCGCCCTGGCCGCTGTCCAGTATTAATGAGTGTTTGTAATATTTGTATACTCCATTAGGGCCCAGAGGCCTCTGTATAAACTCGTCGATACAAGTATAAATACATATCTATTTTGTTGCATGTACTATTGTGCTAAAACTAAATAATGTATAAAATGTAAACATAAATAAATATAATCGGTGTTCGAATAACAAAAATAAAAAAAAGAATGGATCACAATTTGTTAAGTAAATGTGCCTGTGCCAACGATAAAACTAAAAAAAAATTCAATTTTTTTTTATGTACAATATAAAGGCGCCAGGTATATGTGACCCTAATAAATATATCCCAGTAAAAAAGTACCTATCCGCTTAAGCCTTACGTCTTACATCCAACTATTAGACCGAAACTATTAAGATGGTGTCAGCATGTAATTTTGACTCTCACGGATCCTCTATATAACAAAAATTTACGTTCAGCAGAAAAAACCCAATGTTATTATTTTTAATATTTAGGTGAATTCACCCAATATCAAACTTTAGCTAAGAATATTCCTGTATCCGTCCATTGTTTTTTTACGATATTTAAATGTTAATAGAATTTCTAAGTTTTAAATTGTAATAATTTACAAGCTTATAACTTACATAAAAATTAAAATATCAGAAAATAGAAAACGTAGGGACAAGGATAATGTTCTTAACTTTTGTTTGATAATATAGGTGAATTCACTTTAATATTAAAAGTAATAACACGGGGTTGGTTCTGCTAAACGTAAATTTGCTATATTGTGAGGTCAGAGAGAGATAATAAATAGTGCGCTGCATTCTCTTAACTCGTAAATCAAAATTAAAGAAATTTAAGCAATTTTTTTCTTTTAAAAAAAAATTGTATTTTATAATTTTTTTTTTTTAAAAAATAAAAAAAAAAGAAACCATCCAAAAACATTATCAATTGAATAGTAAATATATATTTTTATTATTTTAATCAAACTTCAGAAACAGCTTTGTAAATATTTAAATCCACATCTGGAATGCCATAAAATGAAGTACACCACCACGGAGGTTTGAGTGTACACAGTTGACATAGTTTTAATTGTTTTCCACATCATTATTCATTACTCGTTGTATTTTGATATTTTATGTAGGTAAAAGATCATATAGTAAACTAGTATATTGTTTTGAAAGTCACGTATGCCAGCGGTTTACAATTTCTATCGCAAAACGTGCAATAACAATACATGGCATACCTTATTAACCTAGGAAGGTAGAACTGTTATGGATAAAGGTAATCTAAGAACCAATAACGTCTTATGAAATGTTTGTTTTAACTATAATCACCCAATAATAAACAACCTATAAGCAAATGTTTATATTACATACTTGATAAAATCTAAATATAAAATATTTTAACACCGCTATACAGATCTTAATAATATATGGAACCTATATATGAAATAAAAGTAATATATATATATAATAAGTATGATATACTAAAAGTCATCAGTCATCATACAGAAACTATTTTACCAAAAATAAATTAAAATTGAATTTAATAGAGACCTATAAACACACACTTTAGTCTTTAATCTTTCATTTTGTTATACATTAGGTATACAGGTAGGTTATTATACAATACATTTTAAATATAGTCATATTATGTGTATACAATTATTAGATAAATTACTGAACTCATGAAAAAAATATAACAGTTAGTGTTCTATTATGACGATATACTGTTGTGATAATGCCATTAGTGGTTGATAATATACTTGTACCATCAGCAAATGTGGCTAATAGAGAGTTATTGGTCTTAGGGATATCCAGGTGAAGATGTTATGTAAGTCTGCAGACTTGTCACCGTGGTGACAGGATTACCAAGGGAGACTTCTGCTACGATACCATAGAGAGGAGAGAAGGTATTTCCATGCCGAACCTTAAGCGGTCTATTTTCTAAATGTGCTTTGATAATAAGAATAATGGTATTAGCATGAATTGTTTTAATTTAAAAATTGGCCCACTGTGCCATACTTTGTCAACGTACAACGTCGAGAAATGGTCCAGTAAAATATTTTTTCGCATAGGCAATCATGCTGGTTAAATAGTGGACTTGATGTATGGTCGAATTTTTTGATCGGAAACCGATTTACGTATTAATGTATTAAGTAAAATAATAGGATAAAATGGATCTGATAAAAAATCTGAGGAGACAATTTTCGAAGAATCTGCCTAAGGTAGGCAACAGGGTCTGTTTGAAGTAACCTGCAGGTGTTGGGTTTACCTCCTACTTTCGGAACAAAAATTACGACACAAATTTTTGAAATGAAAGGGACATATGACAATTTTAGCAAAGAATTATTAATATTATAGATGTTATCGATGATATCCAATCATCAGAGAGGATTTTTTAACACTTGGTTTGTGATGAAATCATAACCTAGCTATGTAGTTCCCAATTGGAAGTTTTTTGATGATACTAATGGTTTCTCATTGAAAATGTGGTTAGGTAGGAAGTGACATAGGTAAAGGATATGAGAGAAAATGTTGAACTTTACTTGTATGGCTTAAGATGATGTCAGCACACATTTGTTTTCTCTCTCTGACCAATACGCAACCTAACAAATTTATGTTTAGCCGAACCAACCCTGTGTCGTTATTTTTATATTATAGTAAGTTCACATACTATCAAACAAAAGTTAAGAACATTACCTTTGTTCCTAGGTTGGCTATTTTATGATGTTTGAATTTTTATAATAGTAATGAAAGTGTAAATTATTACAATTGAAATTGCTAATTGTGTAAAAATTAAAATATCGATAAAAAGCCAATGTAGGGACACAGGGAATTCTTAACTTAAAGTTTGATAATATGTTAATTCACTTATATAAAAATTAACAACACAGGGTTTATCCTACTAAACGTAAATTTGCTATGTTGCTCGTGATTTAGAGAGAAAACAAATAAGTGCGCTGACATTCTTTTAAGTCAGGTTGTATATACAATATATTGGTGGTTTTCGAATGTTTTTTTCTAAGTTCGCTAACCCACTTGGATAGATCGTTTTTGGTACGGAATTAATAGTAATAGTAGTAATATGCGATGCTATGTGGGGCCCACAAGTGATAAATACTGATAAAATATGACGCATGTCGTCTTTAAATTCTAAGTGTATGGGGGGGGGGGCAGTTTCGATGAACGGCGGACATCCGACGTTTGCGCATTCCCACTGTGTTTCTCTATTTACGTACTTACAAAAGAGATACATTTACAAGGGAAATACTATTCAACGTGTAACCGAAACAACTGGCCTCCCACGTTCCCATAGCAAAGAGGATCGCGATTGCTATTTTAGGACCGTTAAAAACACACCACGTTGCACGCGGTATATTGTTATATCGAAGAAAAAACAATAGTAAAGATGGGGGAGAAAAACAAAAACGGTCAATACAATCCACGGAACCGGGTGCAACGACAGCGATGACAAAAGCCGTGGCGTAGTGTTACCATACACACGCGCAAGAGGGGTGATAATAATTATATTATACAATTATATAACATTGATTACATACGATGTGCGATTAAACGGACAGGTTGCGGTGGTAAGACAACGGCGGGAGTGGTAGGGTGCGGAAGAGATGGTAGGAAAGGGGAAGGGAGCAAAGCTGATGTCGGCGTGCGGTATAGTATATTGTAGAGGGTGGGAGGGAAGCACCAAACGAGCCGTTGACGCGTTCATGACCTTCCTCAACGTCAACGGCGTTGTGCTCGGACTTTTAAAAGCAGAAAAACACCGATGAATTGTGATGGTCGGTGTCACACATCTTCGAGCACCACCACGCACCAAAATAAAAGGTTTCGTGACGATACAAAAATAAATATTAACATTTTTATACTATATTTATTATTATAACGCAAAAATGCACAGCATGCACTCGCCGTTTAAAGGATATGCACAACGTGTACTTGTTTTCTCTCCAGACACCATGTCTTGTACCGAGGTTAACGGTAAAAACCGCCATAATATTGTGTACCTATATTATAATAATAATAAAAATTGGACTGAACTATTATTACGTCGTGTACACGCGAGCGTCGAGCGGTACCGGGTATATAATAATATTTAATTATGAGACGTATTTTATAATTATAACTAACCCAACTATAACGGTCAACATAATAATATTATAGAAACGTATATACACCGCGTTCGCCCCCCCTGTGTGGGGAACCAGGTCGTTAAACAACACGTCGATTGGTAGTATCAAATATCGACTACTGGAACTGATAATAATTAATATTAATTATCGACGACAGGACCGGGACTCAAATCATAATAATTCATAACCGTTGTCGTTGCGAGTATTATTGTTTTAAATCATACACACATCTACTACAATATGTATATGACGCCACCACCGAACGTTTCACCACACGTCGAAAATACAAAATAATATTACGTTACTTCAATATAAAACCGTATATATTTTTTTATACCTACGACGAGTAGCGAGCACTGATAATGGTAATAAAACAACATTACAATAAATATTATGATTTTTAATACTCACACAGTCACACGGCTACGATTCCGTCTTTCCACGGTGTGTTTTAATAGCGATGCAATTGTGTATATTACGTGCTGCCATCTGTGAGTAACACAAGCATATTCACTATTTACGTCTCTTTCACGCTAATATTACCATAGTAGCGTAATAATAATTTATTCCAATGTGGTCGCAAGCAGTCTTAGTAGAACTGTCGTAGCCGTCAATCTGAAACACAAGAAAGCCCCCCACCTTGTTATTAGTTGACATGAAACTATGAAGACGATAAGTTCTATACATTCGATTTGGTGTACAGTGTACGATTAAAACATAATATTTTCATGATGTATCACGATCAGTAATCACTCATTGCCTCATAATAGTGGTACCTAATGCCGTAAATCATAATAGTAAATATAAAATATGGATCAGCTTTATCAAGGCACTCTAAAAATAGTATCGTAGAACATCAAATTGAACATCATTAGATCATCACTTACTATTAGATATCACTACTCGGTAGTCGGTACAAGCATCGATTATAGAATAATTCTATAATCAATGGTACAAGTAATTGCTATGCATAGGCATTATTTTTCGACTGCGGAATTTTATATTAAATTCGGAATAGTATAACTAACGTAATTGTTGTTATGAATAATGTTTCATAATTAAGTTTGAATGCTAATCATACAAATATTTAATTTATTAAAACAATATTGCAACACACAAGGACAAAGTTGTACGCATGATATTATGAAGACTATTAAATATTTTGATATTTTGCTAAGGAGAGTGGAGACCAATCATAATGTACTATATTTTAATTTTTGGTCCAGCCACCACAAATGAAAAACGTCACAAACAGAACCAGTTTGCGTTTCTTAATATTGGAATTAATTAATTATAGTACTTAAAATGTTTTGATTAAATATTCAATATTTTTGATTATGAGCTAAAATACTTATTAGTTATTAGTTTATAACATATTTTCCAAATATCCAATATTTTAAATTCCCTATTAATACATAATAATATGTGTATATAATAACAATATAAGTAAATTTATGAGTATAAACCTATACAGTATATTTTTGTTTTAAGTAGCAACCAGAGGGCAGAAACTTATTGTGTGAAGAGAATTTCAATTGATGTTAATCCAAAATGTTATTTAAATTATTTTCTAGAATAACATGATTTTAAAAATTGCATTGTTACTACTTAGGTACCTACTCATAAATTATAAATACCTATAAATTTAAAATTAGAAATGTTAACTATTAGTTAAGGTTCTAGGACCTAATTTTAATAAAAACATTATTTACCCGCCCTAAAATATTACACCACTAATTCATAAATATTTTTGAAGAATAGTACCTACAATATTTATGCATTTATTATCACAGCTGTATTAAAAATATAATTGAGGTTTGAAACTTTTCTTTTGATTTTTTTTGCAATATCTAATCAGCCTATTTTACATCAAAGTTCATACATTACTTTTGATGTACTATAACAAATGCCAGGGTGTGCTGAATTAGAGCTTGGAGGTGCTGAAGCACCCCCTTAGTTGCACCAGCGTATTGTTTTATTCTTTAAAATTTATATAAATGACTAGTATTTCTTTGGAATTCATTTTTATGTACAAATGCACTGACGCATCAAGCATTCCTATTAAGTTAGTAAAACTATTAAGTATTAATAATTTGGCTAGGATTTCAAAGCACTTTGATTTGTTTAAATAATTGTTTTTACAGATTAAAGAAGTTGAAAAAGATCAGTTTTGTCAGCAGAACTATTTTATTTTTCTTTAAAATGAATTAGATGTACCAAATTTATATTAGAATTTATAGCAAAATTATTAAAATTAAAAAAATTGTAGAGCCTTATTTAAAATTTGTATTGCATAAAAATATTAAGTATAGAGCATTAAAGGCATTAAAATCCCAGGCCTTACTATTGTGTAACTTACAAAAATAATAGTCATTAATAGGGCCCAGATTTTTATGCAAATGCATATTCTTCTACATTTGACTTATAATAATTCTGATCAAATATCTTGACGTTTCGTACTACGTAGATTCTGCTGTTAAGTATTATACAATAACAGATATAATTTATTCTGTTTTTATACTAAGAAGGTAGGTATAAGGTTTTAAGCAGTTAAAATTGATATCAGAAGTCGTAAGTTATTATCACCTTTATCTTTTAACTGTGATGTTAATAAGTTAACCATTTGTCCAATTGTCCATTAATTTTTATTTTTAAACCTCAAAATATTTTACAGCCAAGTGCTCACAAGAATTTAAGTTATTTTTAAAAAGACTGAGGGGGATATTTCCCCATGTCCCCCCCCAAATAATTATGCCTTTGGTGACAGAATAACATTCATAAGCAAAAAAAGTAAAGGTTTCCTGGACACAGACATTTTTTTACAATACCACTACCTTGAAATAATTACCGACCCCTGTAGTAGTCCTGTTGTAGATAAGAGTAAAAATATACGCACAATCCTATCATCATGGCTAAATAACTAGTTATTAAGACATTTCTATCATATAATCATCTTAAACAATAGATAGTGGTAACAGACTTATGTTACAAAAAACAAGTTAATACCATTAATTTGTGGTTTATACTTACTTTAAACAGAACTGTATATTATGTTTACTTAAAAATACAACAGTTCCAAAATTAAAAATTAAAAAAGTTATTGTTCATATTAAATTGTGTTTACTTTCTGTGTATTGTTATGATTACACAGCTTTTAACTTTTAGGTTAATAACTTCATAGAGTCATATAACCAATAACTGTAGTGGTGATTAATTCAGGTATGATCAGTTAAAATATATACATACTTATATTAAAATACAAAATGTAATACTTTTTCAAATCCATTTAACCAGGGAGAATGTATTCAATGTTAAAAAACCATTATATGGTTTTAATATACAATAAAAAAATGTTTGATATAGTTACAGGCTTACAGCTACTGGTGTGTTAGTAACAACATAATATGATACACCACTTCATAAACTCAACATCCAAACATTACTTATATTCCCATCCAATTAACTTGAAAAATAGTATAAAAAAAATCCAAAACCAACCAAACTTTTTATTTCCAACCTTGCTTCTAATAAGTTACCAGACAACGCTCCTCATCATTTCAAAATAAATTAACCTTGCAATCTCCTCTCAATGTAATTAAAAACAAATGTTCATCAAACAAAGTTTTTATCATTGAATTAGGTAGTTTGGTACTAATATTTTATGCTCCATTCATTCACAGGACCATGTTTTGTTGTATCTTTTACCAAAAATGTGCTTATTTTATATTTGAAATACGGGTTGTTAATATTTTCTATTTTCAATATAACAAACATATAAATTATTACAAAATACTTCAAAAATATTGCTTGTGACTTGATTGTTTCTAAATAATCTGTACTTAAAAATAAAAAAGGTTTATTTAAACGAGTGGCCTGGACATATATATATATATAGTTTTAAATGTGTTTAGGCCGCTTAGGGGCTCTTGGACACCATGGCAGCTTGGCAGTAGTTGTTGGCTTTAACTGGCTTCAACATGGCACTGATAAGAGATAATACTAGGTATAAAATAAATTATACTAAATGCCTAAATACCATAATGCATAAGCGACAGGCGTCAGAAATTATTGCCACTCTTTCTTCACAGTAGAGCCAATAAGAAATAATTTAATTCATGAGAAACGCCATTAGACCAATTTTTAAACACAGTATATTTAATTATTATATACTATTATGCTTTTATATATACTCTATATTTGAAGCTAATACAGTAATATTGTTTTATTAATTTAATGTTGGTGTGTATACATTTTATTAAAATTCTCCTTTACAATTCTGATTAGTTTTAATTAAACGATTGTCTAAAAGTCCCACAAGGCAGTCTTGGTGTAATTCTGTGTAGCCTAGTTTCCAAATACAAAAAATATTATGTTTAGATAAATACAATATATTTTATTACCAGATTAAAATATAATATTACAGCTTGAAATTTAGAATTAAAAGATTTATGATCATTATTAGTCTATATGTTTTAAATTGTTATAAGGTTATGAAATTATAATTGAATAAAATATTAACTGTTGATGGGACTATGGGAGTAGACGTAAAGTATCTACTATTACAATGAAACGCATACACAAATGAAAGCGTATTTATTTCAATTTATTTAACTTGTAGCCTATCTCCAGAAATAAATCTGAATAGATGATTAATATTGTGGTGTGAAGAAATGTTATGAACTGCAAATATGCTTTAACTGTTTAACTACCATTACATAGCATATCACTACATAATATTGTATTATAGTTTATGGTTGAGATTTATTTTGTATAAAATCAACAGTAGGGATGATTTGGAAATGTTTCAAATTTAATTCACAAAATATGATACCTTATAATTAATGCCTAAAACTAGATTAGGTATGAGAATTAAAATGTTGTGTTATAAAAATTTTTATTTGGTAATTTGCAAAAATTAAATACAATTTATTAAACAAATCAAATGGATATTCCGATTAAAAAATAAGTTAAAACACTCAAAACGCCCAAAACGGAGTGCGGACGCCGGACGGCGGACATTGCCACATTGGTATCTGTACTCAATAAACTTATAACCACAGTTAAGCCGAATGGTTACAAGACATTTCTACCTAGCTTGTAAACAGAACCAAAGATCATGTCCTACCAAACCAGGTCAATGGACAAACCACAAAGCGGCAATTTGAGTTAAATTCAAAAAATGATATTAATTAAACGTCGAAGGAAAAAGGCAATTCTGTATTTAATGCTGATCGAGAAATAACTTATAAACTAACTTAATTCGATATAGACTCACCTTAATGTTTTTAACCGTAAACTCTGTACCCAAGTATCGATCAAATAATGCAATGGTTATTAAATGAAAAAAAATATTAAATTTCTATGATCTTCCGGAAGTATTGTTTACTCATTGAAAACAAAAAATATAATTTTATTTAATATCGTAGTTACATTTAACTTAGATGAAAAGTAAAATAAAATAATTCGAAAAAGTGGTTATCACCGAAAGATTATTACTTTATTATTTTGTATGTACACTTCACAGGTCGTGCTCAGCCATTTTTACAGGCATGGGGCATGGTTACACATTTAATTTAAAACATGGTTGCCAATAACTGCTAACCATTTATAAGATCTCTTTGTTTAAACCATCCTGCAGTTCCCGCTAATATTTATGAAACAAAAAATTTGATAACAGTTCTAAATTAAAAGATAAAGGAATAATTTGTGGTATTTTAAGTCCTAACTCCCTAGTATTAACTATTAAGGTACCTAACTTCTAATTTGAGCATTTGGCTTTTAACCCTACAATGCATGATTTTTTTTTAAATTTTTTTCTTAATTTTTTTTTTATCTTTATATCCTAAAGATAGTATGAAAAATATTTAAAAAATCAAATTTGGATTTTTACTCCCAAAATCCACTAATTTGTACTTTGTTACTTCTGAGTAACACTATGAATTTACATTATACGATATTATATATTATATTTAGGAATTCCATAGTACCATACATCCTATGAATTCTATTATTCGTTTTTTATAAGCCAGATGTACCTAAAACAAATTTTGCTTGACACGTCAATAACAAAATTAAAAAATACATGAAGTTTAAATAATAATATATTACATTATTATAAATAATAATGTTTAAAAAAAATCTCAGGCCAGTTACTGTTATACATTCTATGAAATTATATAATTTTTTTTTTTTTTTTTCAAACAAATTTAGAAAACTATAACATAAATTGACCAACTTATATACCAATATATTTTTGTAAATCTTCAGTGCTCATTTTTAAGGGGCTACTGGAGTTCTTTTGCACACCATATTTATAAGTCTCAGAACATATATGATCCATCAAATCTGAAGTAAAAAAATATTTGAAAATCTGAAAAGGTGTATCTAGGTCTAATATATAATTTGGTAAGTCAGAATTGCCAAGAAAATCAGTTTCTAATACTGGAAAATTGCCATCTGTCCATTTAATATTTTGAATTACTATAGGAGGTTTGGTAGGAGCTGTTAAAATTGGTGTTTTACTTTGTTGGGTCTGTCTGGTTTTTTTATTATTTGGTGTGGTGATTGGTTCAGGAGAAGATGAGGATAGAGGAATATTTAAATTGTTACCATTATCCAGTTCTGGATCCAAAACAGGAAATTGAACAACTTCATCTAAAATGTTTTCAGGAAATTTATTTAATAAGAGTTCTGTAAAAGTAGATAAATCAGGTTCTTCTAATAAATCCCTGTACTCATCATACATTTCGATTTGTTCAGTATCAAGGTCGCTTTCAAAACCATCCTCAGAATCTGATGGAATATCTAATAAATGAACTATATCATCATCAGCTAATTTATTATCCATATTTTATTGTGCTTTAAACAATTATAAGCTAAATAAATAAGTAATTAACTAACAACTAGCTATAATAAGTACTAATTTTATGAAAAAAAGGCAGCTAAAGCACTTCAAAAGAAAAATTGATAAACAATCTGTTCTGTAGGTATCACAAGTGTATAATTTAATGATAATGTAAAGGGAATGCATAGTGTTACCCATGTGTAACAAAGTAAAAATCGAATATCTGCAGTAGTACGAATCTACAAAAGGTCCACATTTCAAACGAATTGATAAAATACAGTGTAGGAAACATGTACAATTTTTCCCAAGTTAAATTGTATGAATTAGGACCGATTTATCGTACATCATATCGACATACTCAATGAAAAAAGTTGATAACGCTGATAACTCAGAAAAATATCGGACAACTTCAAATTAATTAATAATTATTATTATATTACTATTTCTTTACACTATAAACTAAATATATATTACCTTAGCTACTAGTATATACGTAGAAAAGCATAAAACGATCATTATTTTAAGTATAAGATGTTGATAAAAACATTGTTACTCTCAAGTAACGTTATGCATTGTAGGGTTAAGTTTTGACCAGTGAGTAGTGAATACTGAGTAGCGTACATTTTACACTAAACAGGTCAAAAATAAAACACAAATTATTCAACTGTCCGATATCGGGCTAAACATGTGAAATTGTAATTTATGAAATGCCAAGAGGTTTTATTTTCATAGTAATTGGACTATTGGAAGACGGAGGTTTATCTGATATTCTGATAACAAATAATGTTTAACTTCTAAAGTTCTATTTTATTTTCTATTTTTGTTACTCACTAATTGGGTAATAACGTTAAAATTTCAATATTTATAAATACAAGCAAGCGAGTATGAGTAATATTATACTAGGTTATAGCCTATAGGTATTATACACGAATTGCAGTTTACACAAGTACCTAATTCTCCACTACGTGATTAGTATATTGTTTGTAAAATTAATATTATAATTTCCACTATATATACCTACTTCATAAAAAATAAATTATATATTTCTTTACATAAGCAATTGTAGTGAGTCATGTGAGTATTATTTGAAGTGTCTTATTTTGTATACGTTTTCCATTATGCATTTAGTATTTTGTAGAAAATAGGTACCCCTTTGGTGAGTATTTTAAACTAAAATGAAGTCAATTGAGACATTATTACTCGTGCTTAAACCTTGTTATTTCACTAGTGTTTATTTGAGCTTCCTGATGTTATGTTCTTCTCTATCCCTCAGGAATACAAATAACAAACTTGAAATTTAAAAAGTTTAATTTTAATTTAATTGTTATCCTTAATGCAGTTTTTAAATATTTGAATTCACAATTGTAAAACATGCATAAACAGTTTATTTTTATGTAAATAGCCTATTTTTTTCTTATTCCAAAATATATTATGGAACCATAAGACTGTCACACATCACACATCACATATACAGATAATATCAATAAAAATAACAAGACTTCGGGTAGAACTGAACTTTGATCCATTTGGTTTTACCATCAATGTCAGGGCCGTATTACCGCTTAGGCTGTGTAGGCTAAACCTAGAGCGGCAAATTTTTTTTTGGTGTGACCCAAAGACTACGTTGAGATATTAGTAAAATATCAATACCTATGTAAATTTATTTCAACCTATGGGCGGCAAAAACGTTAATCCGGCCCTGATCAATGTTATTAATATTGTATTTAGAAGAAAAATGATGAAGAAGTTAAATGATTAAATTACTTATGTATAGCATTTTTAATTTGTCTAGTCAAGTTAATTAATATTGAATTACTGTTTATTAATAAAGTTGTATTAAATTATTAAGTTATTAGTTGAATATGTTTTCTGGTTTACATTAAACTGTTTAATGAATTACTATGAAACATTAATCCTCAAATTAAGTAGGTATTTAATTATAATGTATACCTAATAAGTAATAAAAAATAATTGTGGCTTCGTGAGACTTGCAAATTTTATTCATCAATCATATTATAGAGAATCTGAAAATCTGCTTATTTTTATTATTTATGAATATAAAAAATATGTATTTTTTGTAATAGGAATTATGATACATCAAGTGAGACATCTAATGATGAAATTGTTTCAATACATAATGCATATAAAAAGGAATTTGGTCGTCTCAGCAAAGAACATCAATGCAATTTAAATAATCTAGAAGAATGTTACAAAGAACAAATATTATGTATAATTAAAGAAAAAGATTCAGTATCTCTTCAATTACTATCAATTTTTCAATCTTTATATGATCATTTTCAACAGAAGTTAAACAAATTAAGGCCAAAAAATAGTAAAGTTATTGACAAGTCTGGTAAAAAAATAGATTTCATTAATGAAACTTACCAATGTATCATTAATGGCTATGAAAATAAGCAACAAGATTTATTCAAAGAAATTTTAGAATTAAAAAAGGTAAATTTTATATTTATTAAATGTTCCTTGTCTTTTTTAGAATGAATAAATTCATTGTAAATGATTTTTCAAGTGTAAATTGATTATTTGTATTCAAACGTTACACATTTTTATCGATACTATCATGTATTTATTATTTTTACCACATATTTTAAAATATTAATATTGCAAGATTGGAACCATTGTGCTATAAACTATTGCCTACTTGGTTATAATTACCTACATTAACATTTTTTTTTTTTAAGATTATAATGGAAGAAAAGAAAGTTAATTTAAATGTTTCATCAATTGATTTGCTAGAAAAAGAAAATTCTATTTTAAAGCAAAATTTGAATAGTAACGAATCAAAAAGAAGCTCTAAGCCGGAGTCAATAACTAAAGTTCTTATATGGTGCTTAGGTGTAATAGTTTATCAAAAAAAGGTAATTGCCGAGTTAATTAATTTCAAAAAATGTTGGTATAGTTTATTTAATATATTAAAATTTCTAGTATAATTAAAATAAAAAATGTTGCTTAGATAATATTAGATAAAAAAAATGAGCTGGTATATCTGCACAATAACGTGACAGATCCAACAACCCATAAATTAAATATAAAGTTCTTGATGCTGTTAAGTTTTGTATTAACAGATGAAAAACCAAATAGCTCCAAAATTAAAAAAATGTTTTAAAAGTTTTTAAAAATGGAATTGTCTGGTTTCTGTTCGAAATCTCTTCATGCGTTCTTTATAGGTAAAATATCTCAACTACTGAAAAACAACAAAAAATATCTAAGCATACTTAAAACTGGTAATACATGATTGTTAGAATATAAATTACTCAAATAAGGATACCTACTTGGCTACTTCTTAGGCAAAGGTTTAAAGAAGTTAAAATTTCTTTTGATTTGCTTGTCTGTTAAAAAAAAAAATTTGACAGTATAATGCAAAATGCCTTTCCGTTTTTAACAATATGTACCTATTAGAAAATGTTAATAACATATTAATTTAACTTTCATTAAACTAATTATTTCGTTTAAATCTAAACAAAAATTACATTCATTATTTTATAGGGTAACACATCAAAAGAAAATTCAAAAACGGAATATTTACTTGAACTTGTTTTAGTCATTACTATGATTTGGCATTTGGGAAAATTTGGAGAAGATCGTAGACTGGGATTACTAAATTTAATCATTTGTGGAATCATATGTTGTATTTTAGGTTTTTCATAAAAATTATCAATAAACACTATTTTAGTTGTATAAAAAATTTAATTTTTAGTTCTATTGAATATTTAAGACATATTTTTGTTATTTATTATGGTAAAATATTTTTATTAATTTTGTATACTTTAAAATGTCAGTTGAATATTAATAAAATATTCCTATTTATATAAAATATCAACATTAACTTACTTGTATGTAAAATAAGTCTTAAGATGCAAGATTACTGTAATATTGTTTGAAGTTGGCTACTAAAACCAAATCTCCTAACTTCAAATTTAGTAACATTGAAAGTTATGAACGAATTTCTATTATTTTTTTAAATTTCAAATAAAATGTACTGTACCTTACACATGAGAAGCATTTTCATTTCTTGACAATATTAAAGGATAACAATTTAATTTGTTTTTATTTCATAATATCCTTGTAAAATTATAGTCAACTACTAACACGTGTCCAGTAAAATTAAATAAATTACATTCAATCATACCCAAATAAAAGTATCTGAACCATGTACAAATCTATTTTGTAAGAGCAAATTGTTTCATTGTTTATAACTAATTTAATTCTTTTTTTTTCTTGTAACGCTAATGGCCATGGATGTCGAAGCGGAAATTATTAATTTCAAGACCAATAAAAAAAAAAAAAGTATCTGAAATATTATAAGCTTTAATTTCTAATGAAATCTCAAATTTTAATGTCAACCCCAAGGAATTTTTTTTGGCTAATATGGTTGCATTGGCCGCTTTTTTATATGAAGTTTGTGATCTTGTCTGGGTGGCATATAAATTTTTTTTTGAAAATACAAGAGCAGGTAAATCCTTGTTTCCAGATAATGATAAAGTTAATCCAAAAAACATTGTCTGTACATTGCCAATGCTAGATATAAAAAATAGCTTATGATATTTTTTTCGAATTGAATTCTTCAACATGAAATTAGGTTAAAACTTAAAATCATTAGTTCTTTCATTTTTTAACTACAAAATCCTTATGAAACCAGGCTGATTTAAGTTTAATTAGGAACCTATGTTTATTTATTAAGATGTTAAACAGTTTAAGATTTTTGTTTTCTTATTTTTGATTATATGTAGGTAATTTATCATAATTTGTTTTGTTTTTGATAATATATAAAGTAAAAATTAAAAATTTCACATTCTTTTACGAAATAATTTAAACCTTTTTTAACTTTCCTAGGGTCAAATTATTTTTCCAACTTCATATTAAATATCGATAAAATTGATTAATAACATTGTCAAATAGGAAAATACATGAATGATCAATTATAAATATTTTCTTTAATTTCGATGCAATAAGTTTTTGAATATTAAATAACACCTCAAGGCAAATGTTTCAATATAAGTCACATGTAGGTAGCTTTACAGTTAAAATGGTATAAAGCAATTAGTTATTGAATATGAGAGGTAGCCAACTTGAAGCAAATATGATGGTATACACTGAATCAAGTTTTTGTCGAGTTGTCATATTCATCCAAAATTAGCGGCATCAATTTAGTTTTTTAATTGAGGCCCGAGGGCAACAAAAATTTTGGCTAGCCCAAATGGGTACAAGGTGAAAACTAAAAGGGAGCCCTTTATAAAACTGCTCTCCCCCCTGTCGTTTTTCAGATAGGGTCCTTACCACTATCAGCATTACTGAAAAAACACCACAGGGGGTGACACAATCGCCGCTCATTTTTCACCTCGCATACTATAGTACATAATAATATGTCCCTTTTCCTTGATAAAACAAATACATGCACGCAAATACCAACTTTCATGCAAGTTCCCGCATGAGTCTAAATTTAAATATATTCCAATTATTAATTATTCACTGAGAGTTGTGACAATAATTTCCTAGTACATAACATATTTTCTCAAAATAAATACTAAAAAATATAATAATGGTTCAATGGAACCAACCATGCACCGTCCCATTAGGGTGCTTTTAAAATCAGACAGCAGCAAATGCCTACCTTGCCTCCCCCAAACATTTTAAAATTACAATCTAAATCTATGAATTCAAACTTACTATGAAGTTAAAATTAGTAAAAAAAAATTATAATTAAAGATATTGACTAATGTAAGTACACACAATTAATAGTTAGTTGAAAGTATTTGTAAAAGAACTCGCAGCATTTCTTATTATTTTGTCATCATAAATACATTTAAGATCTTTTCAATCAAATAATCAATTGAGGTATTTTTTTTTTTAAATAATATAAATTGAATATTTTAATTATTATTTAAAAAAAAAAATCAATTTATTTGAACAATATATTGTAAAGTATCATTGTAACTTAAGCATTTAAGCATTACAACTTATGTGTACATCTATATTTTTTAAGAGTTTAATACTTTAAAAAAAATCAGTTAATATTTTAGAAAAGTTAACCCAGTTATACTAACATATTATTATATAGGAACTAAGTTTCTTCAACAATTAAATAATAATAAAAGTTGTACACTTCTAACCTGTTCTTTGCATATCTAAAAATCCTAATTGAAAAGATATAAATATTTATATATAACTCAAGTATTCTTGATAAAAAAAAAAAATATATAATTATTTGGTAAAATGTTTTTTAATTATGAATCTGCAAACTGTAAGAGACCTAGAAAAACATAAGTGCTTTCATTGATATAAGGCTAATTCTCGAGGAACAATATTGTTTAATACTGTTCTGTCTGTATTGGACAAAAATAAATTATTATTAATAATCAAAGTAATAATTTATACTGATGCCAACAATACTTTTTTTTAATGACAAAACAATTTTACAAACAAAAAAATATTTGGAGCAGGACTAAACTTGTTGAATATGGTTGAACAACAACGACATTTAATTATCTATACAAGAGCTTCCTTGTAAACTAATTTGAACCAATGTCCACAGAAGCAACGTTTTGGCTCGCCGGAGTGTAGCCACATCCATTTAACGTGTGATGAGTCTTCTTCACATACACAACCAACAATTCTAGCTTCAAAGGCGGATGGAATTTCATTTGGTGTTTCTTTGGTTCCCACACCTCGCTTAATAGATTTTAAATTGTACGGGTCCTATAATACAACATAACATTTTTGATTTTATTAATAACTTTAAACATTAATTAAAATGAGATAAATTTAATTTTTATTAATTTTTGAGTGCCAATAGTTGTTAAGGACTTCATAATTATTCAGATTCGATGAAGTTTTGATATCTAGATTGGACTTAAAAACCAAGTATGGTTATTGAATTACCTACATTGACTGTAATTTTATTTTATGTTTGAACCATTAATAGCCTATAATAACCAACAGGATCAATCATTGTAACCAATGATAGTTGGTATTTTGATTATTTTAGTACATTTTAGAAAATTACTAATACACCTAATTCATTTAAGAAATATTCAAACATTTGAAGCAATTTAAAAAGTACATTACCTATTTGATGTATACTATTAATATTAGTTTAAATATTATAATTAAAAATAAAACTTACATCATTTCCAGCTAGACGTAAAAGCATTTCTTTTTTTTCAATACCTGTGGCCAAATCCAACGGATCGGGAAATCCTAAAAATAAAAATGTATTAATATTAATAATACTATAACTAGAATTATTCAACGTGATTTGAACGATAAATAATCTAAAATAATCTTTATTAGAAATATTTCAATAAATTTACTATTTTTAATATTTCCCCTTCAAAAGTATTGATGATAGATAAGTTATAATGCATAACTCACTCATAAGTTATTGTGGATATTTTTATTTTTATTAACTATCTATATTGGTATTAAAGTATACCAACCAAAGTAAAGTTATAAACACTTAAAGTCAACATAACTAAATCATAAAAATAAATAAATTATACAAAATATGATTTATGTTTTAATGGATACAATATTATTTATTTAAAAAATAACTTTAATGATTTTAATCAATGGAAAATTTAAGAAAATAGTTGAAAAAAACAATTGAATATTTATATTAAAATATAAAAAATGTTCAACTTCCTTGAGGTTGAGCCAATGAGGTATTTTTGTTCGTTTCTAATATCTTACCAGCAAATGATAATATTATAAAATACAGGAACATAATAGTACGATCAGATAAGAGAAAGGGTTTAGGAAAGGATTAATAGAACAGAGATATTCAAAATTAATCATATGATCCTTAGCAATTGGCTTCCTAGGTCACCTGATCTTTTGCATATGGCTTCTTTTTGAGAGGCATGTTAAAGATAATTAGTATGTACAACAGTTCACCATTATGAACAACCACAGAGGATCTTAAAAATTAGTCAATTATAATTTATAAAGGATATGCATGGAATGAATTTGAAATATTATTGTACATTAAGTAATATTTACTTTAACCCTAAAACCTAAAAATATTTATGCAATTTGAATGAATCATTTTGATTGCTAATAGATAGCAATTTGATTTTTTATGTATTTTTCTTAACAATTATTTTTTGAGGTTGTTTGTTTGGTATGTAAGTTAAACGTTTATTATTTAATTTGTTATTAAACTACTGTGAATATGAAGTAAAATTAAAATATAGGTACCTACATAATACATATTTATCAATTATAAATAGTTCTGATTTATGGTATTCTATTAAAACTAGATACAATTTATTTTATTATAACTAATAACTACTCATAAAAAGCAGTAATGTAAAATTTCGGAAGTAACAAAAAAATTAATAAATGTAGGAAAGTTTATACACTCAACATTTATACTGTTTAGAAATCAAGCTTTAAGCTCTAAACTAATTAAACTGTCTGATATGCAACCACAGATCCAGAGGGTTTCATCTTGGAAATGTTATATACCTACTATAAATTAATTAATATGATAAATAGCCATATAAAAATCCACAAATTTAAAATATAAATAAAAACAGAATACAAATGCTTATATTGTTATCAAATCTTATCTTTTATGTTATCTATAATCTATTAAGTATTAAAATTATAATTGTACTTTTATGAAAAAAATGTATCCCCCCCATTTCAGATTTCTAGATCTGCATCAGATGTTGAGATGTTCAAAGATTCAGAATTTAATTGCCGTTCCTAAAATATAGCCA